GTGCTTTAGACCACTGAGCCATCTCACCAGCCCCTTCTTTATTTCATTTTAAAGAGAATTCATACTGCATTGATTGATTATACAGTCACTTGTCAGTGTGCTTTCTTGTGCACTTAAGAAATCAGGATATGGGGCCGGGGAGATGGCTCAGTGGAATAAGCGCTTCCCTGGCAAGCGCAAGGGCCTGAGTTCAATCCCCGGTTCCACCAAAAAAAAAGAAATCAGGATATACACCGTAAGAATTAGTGCTTTTTTTTTTTTTCGGATCTGCCATCTGTGGTGGAACCGCCGCCAAGATGCAGATTTTCGTGAAAACCCTTCCGGGGAAGACCATCACGCTCAAGGTTGAACCCTCAGACACTATAGAAAATGTAAAGGCCAAGATCCAGGATAAGGAAGGAATTCCTCGTGATCAGCAAAGCTGATCTGTGCTGGTAAGCAGCTGGAAGATGGCCGGACCTTGTCTGATTACAACATTCAAAAGGAGTCTACCCTTCATCTTGTGTTGAGACTCCGCAGTGGTGCTAAGAAAAGGAAGAAGTCTTACCCCACTCCCAAGAAGATAAGCACAAGAGAAAGAAGGCTAAGTCGGCTGGCCTAAAGTACTATAAGGTGGATGAAAATGGCAAGATTAGTCATCTTCGTCGAGAGCGCCCTTCAGATGAATGTGGCACAGGAGTTCTTACGGCCAGCCACTTTGACAGACATCACTGTGGCAAGTGTTGTCTGACTTACTGCTTCAACAAACCAGAAGACAAGTACTTACGAGTTAATAAAAAACTTCAGCTAACAACAACAACAAAAAAAATGTAACGTCAAAACATGATAACTGGCTATTACCCAGGGTACAAATACACACTTAAGGGCCAGGGAGATAGCTCAGTGGAATAATTGCTTCCCTGGCAAGCGCAAGGGCCTGAGTTCAATCCCCGGTTCTGAAAAAATTTAAAAAATTAAATTAAATTAAAAAAACAAATACACACTTAATCATTTGATGTTTTATTGCACACAAAGCAAAAGAGTCACCATCTTTGCCTTTGTCGTGTGCAGGTGAAGCGGAACCAGGGAGGGCATGGTGGCAGTTTCCTTGGCAGGAAAGGTCCACGCCCCGGAGTCTGTATGTCGTGGGAAGACTACCCCATGCTGTGTCGGTTGCATAGCCTCTTGGGCAGGTGTCCTTCCACTCATCCCTCTCGCGTGCTCTGTGGAGTACCTTCTTAGCATCCTCTCTCCTTCTCTTCATTGTCCTATTCCTGCACCACTCGAGGTCAGCTCCAGCTGGTCTTCAGTTGGCTGTTCCCTGATCCAGTAATACTCCGTGTTTCTGATGCTGTTCACACCAGTCACTCACTGGCGTAGTTGCCAGACTTGGATAACCAGCTCCAGGTACATTGGATTGGGCCTTGTCCCGAGTGAGGATGAAGGATTTCATTGGAGGTCTCTCCTGAAGAGATGACTGAGAAGTTGTCACCTGTCTTGAAGAGCCTTTTTGTCCGAGGCTCTGTATTTCCTGCTCAGTGCTCTCAGCCTCCTCTGAGCTGGTTCCAGTCCACCTCTGCAGGTGAAGGAGTGATATTCCCGAACTTGCTCATCGTCGCTTGACCACTTTCCAGCAGATTTCAGTGCAGACAGCCTGCTCTACCTCTATTTTAGCCTGTCTGAGATGCCACAGCAACGAGGTTAGCACAGGCCATGGGGGAGCTAGCAGTGCTATTTTCAGCTGAGTTGTTCTTTTGGCTTTGGGCAGCTGACACTGCCACATGGTAATGATGGCACTGAGATAAGTGGTTTATAAAGTGTTCACAAGCCTGCTGTAAAAGATCTAGCCGCTTGCTGGGGTTGACTTGTTTCATGGGGAGGGCTCCTTGTAGTGCTGATGCCTTCAGGTACTTCAGGTCAATGGAAGCACTTTCTTCTAAATCTTTATTTCAGTTCACGAGTTGCTCCTCAGGTGGAGGCATCCCAACAGCCAGGCGCCACCGTGAGGTGCATTCTTTTCCACTTCAGTATTAAAGATACCTGATCTTAAATTCCATTTTTGATATATAGTGCCATTTTGGTACTTTTCTCTATTTTTATGTGCGATTGATGCATTTTGAGTTCCTTAAATAATGACATGATTGTATTAGGCTGTCTTGTTGCGTGCTTGTGGAATGTCTGTCCCCTGTCAGAGTTAGGGATGCGACAGAGCACAAAGCTCAGAACCCGTGCGAGCCGGGGAACAGCATTGCTGGGGAACAGTGGCGCTGCAGCGCAGGCTTAGCTGCCCTTTTGGAGGAGCGCCGCTGCTGCCCCTGTCGGTGGGAGGGGCAGAGGTTGTGAGGACAGAAAAGGCTACGAGATCGACCCGACCGGAACTGCAGTGGGGGGTGGGCGGGTGGGTACGTGGATGAAACAACCTCTGTAGAGCCTGGAGACAGGCAGTGACCAGAGAGGACCGGCCCTGGGAGGGCTGGAACCAAGCTCTCGGCACCCTGCATCCAGCCTCTCCCCGAGTGCAGGTGGTGCCCCGGAAACCCTGGGTTCATCTCACTTTCTCTCTCTCAGATACAGTGAAGGGGACACTGAGAAGCTGAAGGCCTGCCAGTCCCTCCACGGCAATGACTGGAAAAAGATTGGGGCGCTGGTGGCCCGGAGCAGTCTGTCCGTCGCCCTGAAGTTCTCCCAGATCCGTAATAGTAAGTGCCCCATCTAACACAAGATGCCTAACAAGCTCACATCTGCCCCCCAGAAGGTAGGGTCCCTTGACCCCCAAAGCCTGTCCCCCGAGAGGGCCTTGCTTTGCTTTATGCGCCAGTCTCTGCTAGTTCCTTTCACTTCCTGCAGTCAGTAAAACTCACTAGACTGGTTTTGACCACAGCTCTGTTCAGTAACTCTCAGCGCAAGTGTAGTAGCTGCCCTGTGGTTGCTAGGTCCCCAGGAAGCTGGTGGAGAAGGTCACTTCCTTGTGGTGCCCAGAGAGCCTCTGGGAGGGAGGCTTGTGGTCACGTGGTGTGCAGGACACAGTGTGGACAGCCTCCTTTTTTTCTTCTCTCATATGAAAAATTTCTTTGGTTCTGTTCGTTCCATCAAAACACCCAAAACCACTGCAGTGAGACAGCCCTTGGTCAGGGCCATGGCCAGCATATCCCAATAGCAAAGAACCCTTGGAATTGAGAATAGTCTCTAGGTTTCTTTATTTTTTTCCCCTTCCTAGAGATCTCTTGCTCTTTCAGCATTCACCTACATTGTTACTGCGGGAAGGAAGGGCCATGGGCCACCCACAGCCCTGTGCTCTCCGGGCCCACCCTGGGCCTTCTTGCTTGTCCAGAGAGGAAGGACCAGCTGCCAGTGCCTTGACTCCTCGGTGTGCGTGCTCCCCCTCCCCAACCAGGGATCAAACTCAGGACCTTGTGCTTGCCTGACAGGCACTTATGCTGCTGAGCTGCCTCCCCGGCCCTGACTCCTCGGTGATGCAGAGCTCTCGGGGACCTTGGTGTCAGCTCTGGGTGGCTGGCCTTGTGGTTGGTGACTTGATCCTAGCAGCTCTTGGAAGGCAGATAACGCACATAACCAGAAGCTACTAAATTCCGTTACAAGTCTGGGAAGCTCACAGTGCCCTGCAGGAGCTGAGTTCTGTTCTCTCAGAAACAGGAAGGACAGTTTTTTAAAAGTTAAAAACAAAGATTTTTTTTTTCTTTCTTTCTTTTTATTTTTTTTTTCTTTTTTTTTTTTTTTTTTTTTTTTGCGGAACCAGGGATTGAACTCAGGCCCTTGCGTTTGCCAGGGAAGCACTTATTCCACTGAGCCTTCTCCCCAGCCCCAAAAACAAAGATTTTTTTTTATTTTTGGCGGAACCGGGGATTGAACTTAGGCCCTTATGCTTGCCAGGGAAGTGCTTATTCCACTGAGCCATCTCCCTGGCCCCCCTAAGATTTTTTTTAAAAGGACTTTTTTCCTTCTGAAAATGGAAGCCAGGCCCTCATGCGTGGTAGACAAGCACTGTACCACAGGGTTCCTTCCCCAGCCATGCGGTGACCAGCTTGAGTTCTTTTTTTTTCTTTCTTTCTTTCTTTCTTTCTTTCTTTCTTTCTTTCTTTCTTTCTTTCTTTCTTCATTTGGTACAGGGCCTCACTGTGCAGTTCAGACTCACAGTCATCCTCCTGTCTCAGCCTCCCCAGCGCTGGGATTACTGGGGTTCGCCGTCACACCCGGTTTTAAGGCTTGCACGACATGCCTGAGGTTCCAGAGCCGGCATAGTATGTGGTACCAGGGATCAAACTCGGGTCTTGGCGCCTGCCCAGCGGGCACGTAGACCGCCCAGCTGTCTCCCCAGACCCTCTGGCTTGAGTTCCTACAAAGACCAGGGCTGTGTCAGTCATTTCATGTTCATTTGTATCTAATCGTGTTTGTTTTGTTTCTGTAAATGGGATCTCACCGTCTTCTGAAAAGTGTCTGATGTATCATTTTGTTTTTAATCTTATATTTGAAAGCAAATAGACAACCACTACAGGGTCATCTTTTTATATCTGCAGAAAGAAATCATGGCGTTTGGAGTAAGGCAGAGACCCAGAAACTCATCAAGGCTGTCGAAGAAGTGATTCTAAAGAAAATGTCTCTGCAGGAGTTAAATGAAATGGATTCTGAGCTCCAAGAACATCCCGACAGTCGCCTGTCAATTGTTCGGGAAAAACTCTACAAGGGCATATCGTGGGTAGAAGTGGAAGCCAAGGTGGAGACCAGAAACTGGATGCAGTGCAAAAGTAAGTGGTAAGTTTAAAGCTTCTTTGATAAATTTCAGTGCATTCCATCTGCCTCTGGCGTTGCGGAGTGGGCGGAGCGCTGGGATGGCCGAGACGCCGCGTGAGCGTCGCACAGAGCTCACGCACCGCC